ATCCCTATCAGTAGTCATTGGATTTTCTTTTATCTCTCTATCTCTTCTTTTAAACTAATTCGAATTGATTTTTAACTAAGATTGAGAAATTGTCCAAAACATGATCAGCCTTGGACAAAATTATAGATTGGGTGGGATGGTACTATGTTTTCTTGGACTATAAATTCTGCTCTGATTCTAACAACTCATCTCTAATGATGATTCCCCTTTATTGAACCAGGAATCTGTAGTTGGACAGAAATGGTTAATAATGTTAGTATATGTGCTGAGAATCTTGCACTGCAGGTTATAGAAAAGATGGACCTGTGGTATTTTTAATGTCCAATGGCTTCTCTTTGGTAGATTTGAGCAGTAAGTATCCCTATCAGTGGTTTAGGCTCATGGAGGTGCAGATGGTCAAGAATACTAAGATCTGACAATTGCATTAACATAATGAATGACATCTATGTAACTGTGCAATCTACACAATCTACTAATGGTACACAATTTAATTTTGGGAGCAAATCCTTAGTTTCTTCTCTATGCCTGTTTGATGTCTTTATCTATATGTGGTCTCTTTCATCAAATACTTCCTGATGTATGGGCTTCCTGATCTAGTTGAGTGTATATTTTATGGAGAGTTACTTTGGAAATCATAATATGCTCTGAAAAAATATTTAGCATAGTTGGATTGTTTAGCTGCTTCCTACCACTAGACTGGTAAAAATGACATGTTTTATTGCTTAATACTATATTTTTATCTAATTTTTACTTCTGTAAATCATATGTTTATATATTCCTGGTGTCATATTGCTCAGATGAATTCAAATATTATCATCTTGCTGCCTTTCACTTTATTTTTTGAAGTTTCAGATATCAGAGATCAATTTTTTCATGCCTTTTTGCAGCCAGATGAGCCCATAGTTGAGGAGGATGATGATGATGAGGATGATGAGGATGATGATGACAAGGATGATGATGTTGAAGGTAAATCTGATATTTTTGCTTAATTCTGTTCCTTGTATCTTGAATGAATAAATTCAGAAGCCTATTGGACAGGTATGAAGCATCTTAATTAAGTTGTTTTGTAATTTTCACAATGAGTAGTTTGTATTTGTGACTGTGGCTGGTTATTATATATAAATATGCTATATATCAACCAATCAATATTGACAAAAGCTGTCACAATGAGTATGCATTTTGACAATACTGGCAAAATGCTTGACCTAGTGATACAAATCCGAAGTGAAACCTTATGTTTGTAGCTGCAACTCTGTTTGCCGCCGCTGCCTTCATCCGTCGCCCTTCCCTTCCTCAGCCACCAGTTACTCTTCTCAGTTCTCTTTTTAGAACTATTTAGCATTGGTTATAATTGTTTAGCACCATACTGATTCACTCTTTAGAACTCTTCAGCACTGGTTTGAACCGCTTAACACCATATTGATCCACTTGTTTAGGACTCGTTAGAAACCTGTTTAGCATAGGTCTCCATCAGTGGAAACTATATTCTGACATTTTTATTTTTATGATCATATTTATCAATTACAATATTTTCTTTTAAAATTTAATATTCTGGAGCTTCTCGCTTCTCTCGGGCAGATGCCTAGGTGAGTATCTTTGGTGTCTTGGGACCTTGGCACCTTTTAAAAACACTGCCTCAAACTGTACATTCTTCCATCTTCAGCCTCCATTTCCATGATGGTCCTTACCGTTAAGGCATTCATAGCAAAGGTTAAGCTGATTTCTTTCTTGTTTGGCTTCTCCTTCTTAGTTCCTTATTTGAATGTCTCCCTTCCCTTCTCTTTTCTCTTTCATATTGTTTTGGTTGGATAGCCAGAATTCAAGTCTAAATTGACTTTTTTACTTTCGAGCAATCGTGGTTGATTATCACCCACTTATAGATGCCTGATTTCTTATGCATATTGCACTCAATCGGCCTTGTTCCAGGTTAGCCTATTCCAATCTGTATTGCTCGAGTTTGAAACTTTTCTTTGATTAAGATATAATTGTCCTTTAAGAGGGTGGGCCTTAGTAGAACGGTAAGGTTCCTTTGCGACCTGGGAGACTAAGGCTCGAGTCATGAAAAGAGCCTCTTTAAATATTTAAAGTTGTGATTGTGTACATTGATCCTCTCCGGACCTCGTATTGGTGGAAGACTCATCCACTAGATACACCCTTTCTTTGTCCTTCTTGTAAGTCTTATCCTCTAGTTACAAGAATAATAGGTGAAAATATCTTGTTTCTGATTTCGATTCTTTTCAATATGAAGCTGACCATTTTGTATAATCTTCATCCGGTTCCCCTTAATTTGCTATTTCATTTTTTGAAAAATAAATGCAGGACAAGCAGGAGATGCTGCTGGAAGGTCCAAGCAAAGCAGAAGCGAGAAAAAGAGCCGTAAGGCCATGCTGAAGCTCGGGATGAAGCCGATTCCTGGTGTCAGTCGAGTAACTGTGAAGAAGAGCAAGAATGTAAGTTGTGACGGGCTTTATTGTTGCTACTCACACTATTTTTGTAGACAATTGTGATTATATGTAGTTTCTGTTGTTTTCTTTCAGATATTATTTGTTATATCGAAGCCAGATGTTTTCAAAAGTCCAACCTCAGACACTTATGTTATATTTGGAGAGGCAAAGATAGAGGATCTGAGCTCACAACTGCAGACTCAGGCTGCAGAACAGTTCAAGGCACCTGATCTAAGCCATGTGATCTCAAAGCCTGAGACATCTGCAATGGCTCAGGATGATGAAGAAGTTGACGAGACGGGGGTTGAACCCAAGGACATTGAACTGGTCATGACCCAGGCTGGGGTTTCAAGGTCCAAGGCAGTCAAGGCACTCAAAGCTGCAGATGGTGACATTGTCACTGCAATCATGGAGCTTACTAATTAAAGCTTTGGATTTGAGTTTGTCTACAACCTTTTGTTATCTTTCTTGTCTTCTCGAGGATATAACAGCTGAATGTTATTTGATCGTCAAGAGTTTTCAACTGTTTGTTGTATAAGTAGGGTGAACTGTTATCTGTGCTTAAGTAGGTCTGCTGGTGGTTCTCGCTCATTTGAGTCCAGCTGTGATGTGATCTTGTGATCATGAAGATCTGATAACTTGTGAGATGAGTCATTATACTATGCTTAAGAGATCAGCTTTAGTGTATGCAACATACCATAGAAAAAGTATCATGGGCTGGCAATAAACTGATAGGCAAAGAGCAGGATTTCAAGTTTTGATGTTGAACTGACGATTCGAGTACAGTTCACCCGACAAAGCTCAGTAGCAGCCCAAACATTGTCCATAACTTAGAGATGAACTTCATATTTATTTGCGAAAGCTTTGTGATCATTTTCACTAGGTTCTAAAAGCAAATAGTAGCACCCTAAATGTGTTTTGTATGTGGTAATTATGATTGTTTAAATCAAGGACTTTGGAGATCATAATAATGGTCAGCTGATGGGTGTGAAACTTCGAGAGACCATTTTGCTTGTGGCGTGCTTATAGATTTGATCGAATGACTAGTGTATTATATTTGATCAATGATCTTTCATCAAATAGTCGGGTGTCGTGATCTGCATAATTTTATTGATACTTGTAGTTATTTCCACTTTTAATTAGGATGATAGGACAATTTGCATGAAATAAGTGGTATAATAGTTTTGTTTGTTAGATTGGAAATTGTGTCGTCGATCCAACTGATACTTGATGGAATTTTGAGGATGACTTTTTCTCACTCAATTTTGTTAATCAAGTTGATTATCAAGCTTCCAAATACTGATCGGAGTGGGACGGGTATAATATTATCACATTATGATCTAACTTGAGATGGAAGTGATGAAATCTGACCATTCTCTGACTGTGGTCGATGATGCCAAGCTGTCCTTGGATGACTTTCCCTACGATCTCAAACAGCGATATGATGAGATTGATTCGATTTGTCCCATTTTTCGAATGCTTTTATTTCCGATAGACGAACATAAATGCTTGCTTCATGAGATGATGGAGATCTTTGATCCAGAGACAATTTCTCTTGATGATAATAAAAAAGAATATATATATATATATTTTGTTTCCTATATATGGGTGTTAACAAATTTCAGTAGTGATTTTCATTAATAGAATAGATAAAATGTAAAACTTAGTTGATTGAATCATCATCCGATAACCCTTAAATCACGTTCATGTTGTTGAATGACGTTTCCAATCGAGAAACTTTAATAATAAATGAATATATATATATATATATATATATATATATATATATATATATATATATATATATATATATACAGCATTACATTTTCTAATGCCAAGGTGGTCAACTCACTATTTTTGAAATCTTCCCTATAATTATGTGGAAACGTTAGAGAAAATTCCCATCCCTTGGCGTTAGGAATAGCTCCTTACATCAAACTCCCTTGCCACAATCCAAAACCCATAGATCTATAAGCCTAAAACACCACCCCCCCCTTTCTTTTCACCGTTTCCTTCCAAATCATCCGGAGAAAACACGATCAGTATAATAAAAATGTAAAAAAAAAAAAAAAAAAAAACTAAATCTCGTCGCCGCCTTCGAAGCGAAGCCAAGAAGACGTGGTTTTGAACCCCACCACCGATCGACACTTCTTCTATTCCGCCCCACGCCAACCTCGTCTCCTCCGGCGATCTCGTTGGCCGGATTCCGCCGATGCCCGCTACGGCTGTCGCCGGAATCTAATTAGGCGTTCCCCCCTCGACGTCTTGGTGAGATCCCCGCGCGCGCTCTCTCCCCCACTTCCTTAGCCTGCTTCCCTGCCCCCAAGCCTCCCGGTTCTGCTTTCATGGATCGGATTAACCTAGGGCATGGGAACGCCGGGCCTAGGAGCTCCCTTGGTGAAGCTTTTGATGGTGGATTTGCTTCCCCTGCCCCTTTTTTCCCTTCTCCCTACCTTCCCTCGGTTTCGGCCCCCGGGAAGCCGTCAACAGCCGCGGGGCTATCCAGACCCCGGCTTGTGAAGTCGAGGAAGCAATTCGCATCGCCTCGGGTGAGGGCGGCTGTGATCACCGATGCGGAGGATGGATCCGGGTTCAACCCATTCCGCTCAAGCATGGGGGTCACACCATCGGGCGCTCCGGAACGAAATGAGGGTGGTGGATTGCAGGGGCTTCATGAGAAGCTCCACGGATGCAAGCCATTTGATCCAAAAGCCGGTGAAAAGGTGCCTGGGAATACGAAATCGGGTAGTTTCGACTCTGTGAAGCATGAGATTCATACTGGTGCTTCTGTCTTCGAGAGTGGTGAGGAGAAATTCTCCGGCACAGGTCGGAGCACCGGAGAAGATTCCATGAAGCTAGAGTTTGCTGGTTATGAGTCAAAACCAGTTATGTCAAATTTAGGATATGGGAGCACGGTAGATTGTGCATATCATTTTGGGCGTGATGATGCTGGTGTTTTTGTGTCTGGAAGTGCCATGAAGGAAAATGCTATTTCTGGTCAAAACTTGCCTGAGGATTTGTGTGTACCAAGTTTGGATAATTTTGTGTCAGTAGAATCCGGAAGCTCTGGGTTTGCCTTTGGTCGTGTCTCCTTATCGAATTTGAGTATGGAAAACATTGGGTCTCAGAATAAGGCAAGCAATTCGGGTGTGTTTCCATTTGGGTGTGATGTGAAGAGAAGTACAAAGTCTCACCAGATTTCAACAGCAGGTACCAGTTATCCAGAGTTGGGCGGCTTTGAGTTCGGAAGGTCTGAAAGTGTTCCATTTGTTTCTGAGTTAACCGATGGTTCGACAAACACTGGTTCTGATAAAATATCTGGGAATCCATCCACCTTCAAAGATGAGCGATGTGTGGATTCTGTTTCCAGTTTGTATGCAAGTGTAAGTGGTCTGAACAAAAGTGATACGTTGAGTTGGAACAAGCCACAGAGCTCAGGGGTGCCAAGCATGGGTAGTTTTTTACCTGCAAAGCCTGAAAATGCTTTTGTCTTTGGTGCAAATTCGGGGAATTCAGATTCAAGAAATAGTGTCTCTATGAGTAATACAGGTACGTTTACTGATGAAAGAAGTGGGAGTTCTGATGCATATGATACTGGGGTTCAGAGAAGTTCTAATTCAAGAAAGAAGTCATTTAATGTTTCTGATGAAGTTTTATTCTCGGGTCTCCATGGAGAAATGACGAAACTGAATTTGCATAACTCTGGTGATGAAGATGCTTCTAAAGGGAGAAAACAAGCTTATGAGAGGGCAAAGGATAATGTTGGTAATTCTTTTCTGTTTGGTGGCAATATGACCACTCTAAGTTCCTTGGGTGGCTGTGATGTGAACACATTGTCGGAGGAGATGAAGAAGGCGACTATTGGGAGTACGATGCCATCACACAATGTTAGGAATGGAAGTCTGGATAACCCAGAAGGTTTCTTTGTCTTCGGGTCCAATATGAAGAAAAGCTTCACTTCATCTCAGACATCAACCATGTCTGAGAAGAGCTTTCCATCAAAGATTATAAATGTCATGCAAAAGCTGAACATCGAGGACTTCGAGGATGATGGTAACTTTAGTAGAAACAAAGATGCTGATTGCCAGTTTAAGGTAGTTGTCATGGCAAATGATCCTGATAAAGTTCTATATACAGGAGACACAAATGTGTCTGCTTCTTTTGATGGTAATGCAGTTAATACATTATATAATGACATCAAAATGTTGAACATAAGGGACAAAACAGGAAATTCAGATGCCAATGCAGAAAGAACTAGGAATGTGTTCCCAAATGCATCTGCTTCTTCTAAACATACTTTCGTGGTGAGCAACCAGGAGAAAAATTCAATTGGAGATGATTTTCGATCATCTAAAGTAGATAGTGACTTTAGGTCCAGGGAATATGCTGAACCTACTTTTCATCGGTCATCATCTGGCCATGACCCCCGGTCTGTTGAGATTGGCTTCAATTTCACAAGCATGCAAGAAGAAGTTGGAATGTCACACATGGAATTTAGAAGCCCAAAATCTGTTGCTCCTGGTTTATCGAAGGAGAGTTTGTTTACTGGACCACGTTCAAATATGACATTCGGTGGAAGAAAGGTAGAATCTAAAGGTACAAAAACAAAGAAAAGAAATGGTAAACCAAAGCACTCCATTCCATTGCAGCAGACCTTTGCTCAAACATTTGTCTCCGTGGAAAAAGTTTTGGAAGGTAAGGATCCAGAATCTCTTGATGGTTACTCACCGATGGATTATTCTCCTTATCAGGAGAATTTAGTTGCTGATCAAACTTCAAGAGAAGCTTCAATACCGTCAAATGAGTCCATCCATATTGCATCACCTAGTGCATCAATTGCGACGGAAAATCCAATTCCTGTATATGAAAGTGAATTTCTTGTTTCTGCAACAGAACACTTGTATATTGCTGAAGATGATTTAACACATGAAAAACCAAATCATAATAATTCCAGATGTCATGATGAAAGTGAATATCTTGTTTCTGCCACACAGCGTTTGGATATTAATGAAGATGATTTAACACATGGAGAAAGAGATCATAATGATTCTAGAGATCATGTTGATGAGGAATTTGGTCTCGAATGTTCAGATGATGGACAAAGATGTGAACCTGATGGGAAAACGGTTGTTTCCAAATCTGAATATGAGGATCTTGCTTGTGGAAGTAGCAGCACTTTAATGGAAACAGAAACTCACCTTTTTGGTTCAGAGATCGTCACACAAGCTGGTGAGAATGGTACAAGCTTAACTTCGGCTTCTAGCTTAGCAGGTTTTGGTGGTTCAAACTTTGCTTTTGGTGCAATATCTTTTGCTCAAGATCCATTATCAGTGTCAAAGCGACAACTTCGACGGAAAAGTAGGACAAAAGTTGGTCAGGAGATGCTTAATCCTAGTTTAAATGCTGATGTTCCTTTTGTTTCCCCTTTTGCGAATATGCTTCCAGCTACCTGCAGTTCTGTACGTCCAGATCCTGCAGGAGACCTAAAATCCATACAATCTGGTCCACAGAATGTAGTTGATACTAGAGTTGAAACTGGTACGAAACCAGAGGTCTTGAGGGATCCAGTTACCACTGATTCTGAAATAGTTGCAGAGCAAGAAGCCTGTGAGAGATGGCGTCTCAGGTACTTGAGAATATGACTTTCCACCATTTGTGGACTCCCATGAACAATTTTATATAGCTCCTGGTTTACGAGAATGGTTGCAGAATTCATATTCCTTATTTCTACCTCTAGTAAAAATTTTGATTAATTATATTGTGGATTAGAGACACATTGTCTGCATTAATTAAATTGCAATTCAGTAGTCACCTCTGGGACTTATTGCTGATGATTTTATGTACATTAGGGGCAATCAAGCTTATGCAAAAGGACTACTGCTTAAAGCTGAGGAGTATTATACACAGGGGGTGAACTCTGTCTCTCGGAAGGAAATTTCTCTAAGCTACAATCGAGCATTGATGTTGTGCTACAGCAACCGTGCAGCTGCACGGATGTCTCTTGGAAGAATGAGAGAAGCCCTTAATGACTGTATGCTGGCTGCTGCAATTGATTCCCACTTTCTAAGGGTTCAAGTCAGGGCTGCAAAGTAAGGTTTCCTTGGTTCTCTTAATCCATTTCTGCCTTATCTTTTTTCATTAGGTTCATAGCTGAAATTATTCTTTTTGTTTTTTGGACTTATACATCTTTATTGCACTCAATAATTGTTGAGACATTATTTCTCAACTCATCTGAATGTTGATATAGTAAAATTATGAGTCACATCATGCAAAGGTGACAATAAGTTAATGGTAAAGAAAAGTATTAAGCTGTATTGTCAAACTTTTTTCCTTTCACAGTTTTCTTTATATAATGAAATTGACAATAAAATGTCTACATTTAAATTGTTGACTTGGAATATACATATAGACAATGAAGAATAAATAGGAAAAGACATTTGAACGTTAAAATGAACAAAGAAAAGATTCACATTTTTTAATAAAATTAATGTCAAATACCTTTTTCCTCTTCAATTTCTATTTAGATTAAAAGATGAGAAACAAGTATTTAGATTTCAGAGCTAATTGTTAGGTTAAAGCTTTTCCATAATGTCAAACACTTCTCCTTTCCAATTTCTATCTTCATTGTTAAGCTGAAAAGCAAGTATTTAGATTTCAGAGTTTATTGTTTTGTTTTGTTGAAGTTATTGCATTGATGCCGTGGCAAGAAAATTTGTCATCATCAGTTCACAAAGGTTGCTGCATCTTTATTTTTGTTTCAAATATTTTTCTAAGTGTATCTCTCTGGGTTGGATTGTATCTTATTCTCTTGACATGGGTTGGGCCAAGACCAATCAAGGTTTGCCATACCACAATGTATTGCTTGGTACTAGCGGTATAGGAGATCGGTACGGGTGGTACACATCGGTTTGTCGGTATGTCCCACTATATGTCGGTACATCGGTATGGTTCAATATGTATTATACCAATAGCCGATTGGTATACCGGTATAAAATGGTAAGACGAACCATGGGACCAATGCTTCTGTAAGGCTTATTTGTGCTGGCAGGTTGGAAATGCTAGTTTCAAAAAGTTTTTAGAAGTGCTACTTTTGGACCCATTGACTCTGTACTACTCTCCAAAAATATTATGTTCTTTTTCTTAATGTTGCAGCACCTAATTTAGGCATTTCTTTTATGTCTTATCAAACACCTTTGAACAATTTCTGGTTTTAGGCAATATCATAATGTATCATCTGGAATATTTTAATATAAAATAACAATGTTTTGTTTCATATGGCATATGACAAAATATTTTAATTCTTGAATTGTTCATCCTCATAAACCGTGCCTTATAGTTCAGCTACACCATATATCCATCATTTTGGTAGCCATCATGTCGTTGCTACTTCCTAATCTTTCTAGCCTTCCGTTTTGGTGGCATCTCAATGTTTCATCTAGCCATAGTGGTGCACTATAGGATCAACTTGTTAGGGATTTTCAAAATGAGAATTTAGATTTTGTACTAACTAATAATGATATTTGTTAAATTAATGAGAATTTGATTAGCATATATTCTAAGGTCACTGTAGTGAGAAACTTTAGTTGAACAAGTGAGACAATAAAGCACCAATAACAAGCCATAATCTCCCAACAACAAGAGAGGACCCTAAAGAGCAAGGATTGAAATATCGTACCGTACCGGAGTTTCGACGTTCGGTACGGTACGGTACGGTACGATACTGTATATCGAGCGGTATATCGTTCGGTATATATATATATATATATATATATATATATATATATATATATATATATAATTACCTTGCTAAAGAGTGTAACTAATACAAGAATATTAAGAAGGGTCTAGTCCCAAAAGCTCTAGTTGTTTTTGGCTTTTCCATTTAAGAGTAGAATGGAGTGGAAAAAAAGGATCATTTGCAGAATATGGATAGCTGAGTGGAGAGATTCACCAACTCTGCAAGGTTGATGGTGGATCTTCCAAATAAAGGTAAATTGTTTAGAGCAATAAGACTAGCTATAGGATGTAATCCTTGGTGTCACCTTAGGGTTGCTCCTTAGCAACCTTGTTATCCAGTGTTGGAATGAGGCGTCTATGGTTGGAGTCATGTAATTTCAGGGGTAGGGCTGGTTACATTGACTGTCCATTGACCTTGCATTGGTGATGTTGTTTGTTGGATTGACCTTGTTAACAAAATAGAGAGACTTTATCAAAACTAGATGATGAGCAAATAAGATTAGTTGCATGTGTTAAGTGAGAAGTTGTTTATGGTTACTCAACATTGCCTTGACCTTGCCATAAAATTGTACTTGATCGTATAACATTTAATTAGACTGTCCATTCTTTGCTCTCTCAATATTAAACACATGCTTTCTTACTCAACATTGGTGTGGCTTGCCATGTATTGAAATCCCGCATGCTTGAATGTCCATTTTCTTATGGGACACCCCATCTTTTGCCCTTTAAATTATATGGTTTCTGTAGAGTCCTGATGTATACTTAATTCTACCATATAAAAGGACAACAAGCTCAATCCGTGGTTTGACAATTTAGTAAATTACTAAGAGATCCTGAAAGAAAAATCTTCTCCTTGTTTGGTATCTGGCCACTACATTGAATCCCACTATAAACAACAACTGAACTCTCCAAATCCAAGTTAATAATAGCAAAATAAACCACGTAACAAGTATTATGTTCATATAAGGACTCTTAGACAAATTATATTTAGAGTTAGCCCCTACAATATTAACTGAAAATAGTGATGAAAATCAATCAGAAGATCATTGAGAAATAGAAAAAGTATTTCTTGACCTTGCCTTGTCTTGAAGAGATTTGTTCCAAGTGGGTTTGAGCACCTCAAAGGGAAGTTTTTGTATTGGAATTAGATATCATCTAACTTTAATAGTAGTCTTGACTGAGCTACGTTATCATCATGGAAACTGAACAAATTTTTTAATTTGCTACTTTAGTCAAAATGATTTAAAAATTGTGCAGCATGTGGTGAGTTAAGATTTGTTGGTAGGATCAACCCTTTTGAGTAGTCCACATAAAGTTTTGGTCAAGCCATTGTTGTGGTGAAAGGTCCTTGGCTAGAGTTGGCTTAGGTGGGACACTATCAAGGGTAAATTAGGGTCTAGTTGGTCTCTAACTACTTCCCCCTATATTCATCCCGTTCCTATGTTCATCGCTTATCTTCGAAACATTGTTGTGTGCTTTTGTGTGGTAGAGATATCACAGTTTCAACTTTTGGTTGATGTTCAGAGAATCACTAATTTTGTTTGTGTATTTCGCACAATGTTGTTGTCTTAGTCAATTTTGTTGATTTGAGCTTGGAGATAAATCTAAGGTTTGAATTGAACGATATTGAGATGTATACTTCAGTATCCCATTTTGTCTGTTTTTGCACTCTGTTTTGCTGTATGATAGTTGAGACTCTTAGAGACCTGATCTTCCCCTGATACAGTTGCCATCTTGCACTGGGCGAAATTGATGAAGCTATGAAGTATTTTAAGAAATGCTTACTATCAGAGCGTGACGGAAATTTGGACCAGAAAATATTAATAGAGGCTTCTGATGGCCTTCAGAAAGCTCAGGTAGCACTGAACCTACTACTGCTGATCTTTCAACATTTGTTGTTCTGCAGCACAATTGATTTATGAAAGACTTCTTGTTTACATGCAAAACGACTTGCATGTTCCAAGAGGGATTATTACATAAGAACCAAGCAACCTGGCGTATCAGAGAAGATTTACTTGTGCTTGTAATTATCTTTTGGTATTAAGTGCTAAAGTTTCAATATAGTAGCAATTTCTTAAGATATGGATTATGAACAATTCCTTTTCTGTCAGTTGAATTGTTATGACAAAACTTGAGTGAATGAGGTAATGCAAGTTTTACAAATGGTTTTATTGGATTAGAAATCCTATTTACCAATTTTGAATTTTACACATATATTGGAGATTGTTATAATGAAAGATTCCAGTGCATTTCTCAGTCATGGATTATCTGTTTTAGACCATCATATTCATCTATACTTTAAATCCAGATTTTTATCACCCTGTGTATCTAAAAAGGTTGCTTTGTTAGATTGAAAATATCTAACTTGACATTGGTGTTTTCATGTCATCAACATTTGAGATCCATCTGACAAGCTTTAGAACATCAAAATTGGTGTTGGACCATTACATTTATAGCATGTGTCTAAAATTTATGTTTCCTTCCACCTGCTTAAACAGCATAAGCCAAATTCTTTATGGAATGTTTATGAATTGTAACAAATACAGTGACAGATGCCTCATTTTGTGTCTGAAAAATATATCACAAAGGTAAAGAAGTACATTGGATATTAAAAAAAACTTGTTTCTTGTCTTGTTGAGTAATCCCAGATGTATTTGAACCAAAACACTAATAATGATTAATTTGCTTTAGTAATACCATTTTGAATGAAAAATTACCTTCTGTTTTTGTTATGGTTTGTTTTTTACAAGTTATTATTGATTTCACATAACTAAGTATTAAATAATTTCATCTAGGATATATTATTTGTTTGATTTGTCATGCTATTTATATCTGCTTTATGTTCCCTTGTCTTTTTGGCATATATGTGACTGACATGTATTTCTCATGTAACAGCAAGTGGCAGGTTACGTGGTTCAGTGTGAGGAACTTTTACTGAAAAGAACATCTAATGAAGTGGCAAAGGCCTTGCATATGATCTCTGATTCTCTATCTATATGTACACATTCAGAAAAATTGATGGAAATGAAAGCAGAAGCTCTTCTATTGGTTAGTTCTAATATTTCTCAATGAAGTAGCTGTCATTAAGACCATGAATTTTCAAATTCCTTTTTTTTTTCCGGGTGTTATGGGAAGCAGTAAACTAATTTATATTGTCCCAGGTATATCTCATAGAATAATATATCTGATCTAATAATGCTGTTCTTCAACCTGACAGCTTCGGAGGTATGAAGAAGTAATACAATTTTGTGAGCAGACTATGGAACATGCTGAAAGAAATGTTTTGTCCGGAACCAATGTACAGTTGAGCAAAGTTGATAATTTTGAAGATATTCAAGTTATTTCTGTGAGGCTTTGGCGTTGGTGCCTTATTTCGGAGTCTAACTTCTATCTAGGAAGACTCGAGGAAGCACTTGATTTGCTAAAGAAACAAGATAAAATGAAAAATATAGTGGAAAAGTACTATTTAGATCTTATCTCTGTACTCCATTAATCATTTCTGATAGTAGCATATATTTCTTCAAATCATGTTTTTAATTTTCATTAATATTACCTAGGAATAGCAGTGGGCCTTCAGGAGCTTCAACATCATTGTTTGTTACAGTTCGTGAACTCTTGCGCCTAAAAGTAAGTCTGCTCATTTTCTTTTTATCTGAGTCTTTTCATTGTATCTTATTTAGCAAAATTACTAATAATAATGTTTATATTTAAGAACTTATGAACATTGTGATAATAATTCTATGTTTAGTTGGTGTTGAGAATCAGCAGACAATTTTATAAATGCAAGTTCAGTTAAAGTGTAAGTCTGTTGACTTTGTCCAAATGGAGATGCGATTCCAAAACCACCATGACATGTGACTTGATTGGATCCTGGGCTTGTTGTTTGCCTTTTCAAATGATCAAAATATTTGTGTACTGAAGGCTTGAAATGTGGCTTTTTTTTAGAGGGGTTGTGCTGCTAATTTAGCCTCTCTGTGTGTTTTTTCATGTGTAGGTAATTAGATGACACTAGTTTTGGATGCTTCTTTGCATGATGATATCAGGAAGTTATATATTAATAAATTCCTTCAAATACAATTACATGAAGAGTTTTGACATCAACAAATGCTTTTTTTAAATTCCATTGCAGGCTGCTGGGAATGACGCTTTTAAAGAAGGAAGACATGTGGATGCTATAGAACATTACAGTGCGGCTTTAGCATGCAGTACTGAATCACGTCCTTTTGCAGCAATATGCTTCTGTAATCGTGCTGCTGCATATCAAGCTATGGGCCAAATTGCTGATGCCATTGCAGACTGCAGTCTAGCAATAGCTCTTGATCCTAGCTACCTGAAGGTTGGTCAAGGTTTTGCTGACATCTTAATTGTTATTTCAATTTCACTTGCCATCTCTATTCTCTCATTTCTCTGGTTATGATTTGAAGCCTGCTGATATTGACTCATTGACTTACACATGATGCTCCAACATATATCATAATACTGTATCATATTGTGTAAAACGGGATGATGCAATACTATTTTGTGGCATTGCAACGGGAAGTTGAACTTGCTTGTCGTGTGTCCTTTTTATTCACATATTATCATCATCCCACTTAAGATTTTTTTCTTTGTTTTTAATCTCCATTGTATTATAAGTTCTTTATGGGGGATTTGTACCCATTTCTTTCATTTGAATTGCCATTTTATTATTTATTTTTGATGTTGTACTTTGGTGTTGCAACTATGCATCTGGTAATGTACTAATTGAGTTTAGATAAAGATGGAATGGGAAAATATTCTTTTCACTAAGATGCAAGCAAAATCTGATTAGCCCAGCTTCAAGTTCAGGTTTGAGTTTAAGGTTATTTAGATTAGCAATTCATGCTGTGATGTTCTGTGAGCTGAGTGCATCCCCACTGAGTTAAATGGTGCTACCGTGTTGCCTTAGGATTCGCTGTCGAGCCAAAACAAAAGATTCAACAATAGCCATGATCATTTTCATTTTTGTACTTAAGCACTGGTGACAAAAACCCAGCAAAGAAAGTATAAAAATTCTAAGAGCACTGTCATAAATAGGAAAGCTCAGAGGAAAATATAGATGAAGAAAAACAATGTTATCCACTAGGTTTAGACTGAGGATTTACTTGTTATATGGCCAATTCCGGTTGACAGCCGATTCAGTATGTGCTATTCGCATAATAGTCTATGCTGTGTTGATGCAAGTACTCCGGCAGCACAAAATTACGAGGAGAAAGGGAGGAAACATTCAACATGGGGACTTAGCTCTGGCTTGAAGGACGGGCAATCTGTATTGACAGAAATGTCAAAATTGCATTTGTAAGTCCATTGTGACATGGTTAGCTAGATACACCGGAGTATCAGTATGCCGATGTTCTGCAAGACAAATGCTTGTTCCTTAAAGACATGGTTACATACAAGGACTCAAATCTCGGCCAGTACCAATTTTAGCAACTATTCAAACTAGTATGAGACTATTTCTAAGGTGGATACCAACCCATACCATGTGTTAATACTGAAAAATAATACATATAGAACATCAACATGTAACGATCTCAATTCAGACTGTACAGTACTTGAAGCTTTGGTTACATGTACTGATTTGTAATTTTCATTGTTGTATTATAGGCAATTTCTAGAAGGGCCACCTTACATGAGATGATCAGAGACTATGGACAAGCATCTAATGACCTCCATAAGCTCATATCTCTTCTGGAAAAGCAACCCAAAGATAACGACAATCAAGATGGAGCTTTGGAAAGATCAATCAGTAATAATGGTGATCTATCTCAAGCCCGCTTGCGACTTTCTACTGTGGAGGAGGAGTCCAGAAAAGAAATTCCTCTGGATATGTACATGATATTGTGAGTTTTTTGTCAACTTCAGTTTGTGTTGTCTAAGCTGAATTATATTGGTCTGCAGAAAGCAATTTTTTTATTCTATGAAGGTGTTCTTTATTATTTTAGTTTTAATTTCAATTATAGGTGTGAATTCTCCACCATGTTCACCTTTAAGATTCTCACATTAGGGTAGACCCAACTGAAGTTGTATTAATGGTTGCTTTTATAACTGTTGTAAGCCAGTTATGTGCTGGTCTGTATGGTGGTGACTACTGCCCAGTTCCTGCAACTCCAATAAACCATTAAGATCTTGATTGACACAATGACCTAAAGAATGTGGGTGGCCAACTTTAAAATTATTTCTTGGGATAGCATCTTCTATACTAGTTTTAAAAAATATTGTGATGTTTTGCAAGATTTGTTAATTTGTCCTTTATCGATAGAGATTATTCTTTGATTAAGAAAACTTTTTTTTCCACTCCATTTGACTTAAGATTTAATTGCTGGAGACAAACTGAAAAGTATTGACAGTTGCTCTTGTATGTTGACCTAGTTTTGGGATATTTTATCAGACTAATTTACTGCTTCAGTTGGTTAAATATTTCCTTATAGTTCAAGAATATAAATAAGTTGCATCAGGTTTAGATTTCTGTACCAAAAGAAAAATAAAAGTTTGATTTTAATCTTACATGTACCAGAAATTTAGTTTTTCTTGAATGAACATTTCCTTTTATTTTTAATCTTATCTAAGGCTCAGTTGTTTTTTTTCTGGATCATTTATTTGTAGCTCTAAAACATGGCTATACTCTATGCCTGTTGTTTTGGCATCTTAACCTGTAAATTTCTGTTGAAATTGTCCTTATAATTGATTATTGGTATATACAGGGGAATTGAACCATCAAGCTCTGCAGCAGATGTAAAGAAGGCATACAGGAAAGCTGCATTGAGACACCATCCTGACAAGGTATTGCCACTGGATAATTTTAGAAAAGTTGATGTTTTCAATTTTTTCACTGCAACTTGTTGCTGCAGGCTGGTCAGCTCTTAGCTAGGAGTGAGAACCTTGACAATGGCGTTTGGAGAGAAATGGCTGAAGAAGTTCACAGACATGCTGATAGATTGTTCAAGATGATAGGAGAGGCATATTCTGTACTCTCAGACCCCAGCAAGGTATTTACCAGATTTTAGTAAATAGGTGCCTAGCACCCTTATGATGTTTGTGGTGAAATGTCCGAAGGAGAGACAATAATCTATTCTTTTCAAGAGACAAAGAAGTGAAAAGTAATGAAGTGATTGGGTTACAACCTTTTTTCATGTGACATGATGGTGAACAATAGCTCGGTGATTTAAAAAGCACTAGGCATCAAAAGGCGCTAAGACCCCAAGATGTTTAAGGTGCTAAGCGCTCGCCCGAGCGAAGCAAGACGCTCTGAAATATTAAAATATAAAAAATCTAATACAATTGATAAATAGAGATTAGTAGTGTTAAAATCTAAGTAGGGACTAGTATATGATAACGGTAGTTAACAATCTACTGTTAACAGTATTTAATCTACTGTCGATAGTAGTTAGAGGGGAGAAAAGAGTCATTGACGGTGGAAAGTGGGGAAGGAGAGGGCGACGGTGACGGAGGAACTTTCGAACGATGGCAACAATGACAGAGGAAGCTACGAACGATAGCAGCAATGGCGGAGGAAGTTTCGGATGACAGTAGCGGCTGAAGAATCTGTAGACAACAGTAGTAGCTTCGGATGATGGTGACAGCGATAGTGATGACAGCAGAAGCTGCGGACAGCTTCTGTTGTGAGTAGAGGAAGCTTCAGATGTGTCCACCAGTGGCGGAGGAAGCTGCGGTCCTCTCCCTCGACGGTGGAAGGAGCTACTCACGGAAGCAGTAACGACGGAGGGCAGTGTCTGCCGTACCGAGCCGTACCGCCCGGTACGGGCGGTACGTACCGGTCCGACAGGTTGTCGGTACGTGGACCGCCCGATACCGGTCCGCACTGTAGCAGTGCTACAGTGCTCGGTACACTTGGGTGTACCGCTCGGTACACCGTACCGTACCAGTACCGAGCCCAGGTCGAAATACTGGTACGGTACGGTATTGCGAACCTTGACGGAGGGAACTACGCATGAAAGCTACATCTTCGGATTTGTTTGTTGATGGCAGAGGAAGCATCGGTCCAGTGTGTTGGCGATAGAGGCAGCGATAGAGGCGCGACAAAGGCAGAGATTGTGCTAGGGTTGCTTGTGGTCCCGTGGGGGGGCAGGGGGTGGGTTTTGCAAGTAAATTAACTTTATGTAGCTTAGTTGGTTCAATTGAACCAACTAGCTATTGTTCAACTGAATCGTAGGCGCTAGGGTTGCATGGTTTTCGCCGAGCGCTTGCTCGAGATGCCTGACACTGGGGTTCAAGCAAGCGCCCTGGTGGCGCTCCACTAAAGCGCGCTGCTTGGTGAATCTGTGTGAGAGAGAGAGTGATTAGAGACTGTTTATGTTAGCATTTACTCTATAACTGGCTTAAATGAAAAGCTTATAGTTGGTGTTTAATACAATATGCAAGCTTTTATAAGAAATAAGAGTTTGCTATCGGAAAATGTTAAGAGATGGTATACTATGGATAAGCTTTAAGTAGCAAGCTATCACAAGAGATTTTCTTTCAGTTTGATTACTACATAGGAGTTCCATCTATACTTTATTCAAATGTAATGAACATACTACAACCCTGGCTTGTTATGTTGTGGCAACCATCATTCAATTTGTGAATCAGATAATCTACGGCTAACAAGAATGTCTTTAATGTAAGCATTCACAAGAGATGTTCGTGACACCCATGTGCATATGTGTGAATAATTAGTAGGTTGATATTGATAGGTATTGCTGTGAAATGATGTTGGCACTAAAACTTTTACCAACTTGGCTGCTTAGTTTCTTATGTCAAGTCAGGCTAAATCATTAATAGTAATTTTAGGTATTGATGTTACATGTTGATTGAATACTTACAAGGCCTAAAGAAGCACTAAACTATTTTTTACTTGAATTATTAAAGAAAATGAATAGATTCTCCAAAATAATGAACTGATTTTCATTTTGTACATTTCAGGAGCAAATTCGTACACTGAAGACATCCTAAATGATAGCTTCAAAATTGATGTTGTAATTGTTGTTCATGTTTATCCAGTCATGATGTTGCATATCGTAATGTCTGTGCTGAAAATGCTGCAATTTTATGCAATTAGGTCCTTGTCATTGTATGATACTAATTATTTTTTAGCTTAGGACGTGAGAACAGCCATTAATGATGTGCATGTTACTGTAGTTATTATCCAATATATAGTGAAGACTTAGTAGAGTGGATTTAACTGTCCATCTAAAATTCAAGACCCTAATTAGAGTGGAAGAAGAAGATTTCATTCCTACAAGTAATGTCTTAGTTTTGATGCTTTTGATTTTTGTGACATTTCTGTCACATGACAACTTATTATTGTAATTGAACTATTAAGATGTTGCATAATGTCACTTCATACATTAAATTTCTGATATTTCTGGTGGAACTGAACTTGGCATTAGAGACCAGCAAGGACTCCAGTGAAGTCCTTGTTTTCAGTTCAGATTCCTTGTTGGGCTTTAGATTTCTTTAATTGGCACATGGAAGTTCTCTTTGACTATAAGAATTCTCATTTATCATTTATGATCCTCTTGAAGAATGAACTATGAGGTGTGTTGTGTATACGTTGAAGTCACAATACTGGGACTACCATTTCAGTTGAGTTTCATGAAAAATTTCTTCCTGATAACAAATTTTGGAACTCTATGACCAAACAATTGAGGAAGCATCTTGATGTAGGAAAGAGATGATATATTGAGCGAGTTTATTCGTTTAATTGGACTAATTTTTCTCTTTCCTTTGTAAAACATCATGTATCCATGAAAACTTTTATTTAATCTTAAGTCAGAAATCAAATAAAGTCTGTAAATCTGATAAATTTTTGACATTTTCCTTTTTTCTAACTGAAATTACTTGTGCAAAAAAGAGGTTCAAGTGGTTTAATCAGTAATGCCACTAGTGCAGAAAATTTCAAAAAGTGATGTTTCAGTTTCATGGTGTAGAACATGCCAATAGCGTGTTGACAAAGTTAATGGTGAGCAACACAGGTGGCAAGGGTTTCATGTTGGCACATGCTCTTTACCGAGGCCACCTTTGATTTCACTACACCTTTGATACAGCACAAAGTCTCCTGCCAGTTTGCATATAGAATCCATGATCACTAGGTCGTGATTAGATGTCAATGTGCAAATATGGAGATTTTTATTGGTTTTTTAATTATTTTCTGAGAAGACACTTTATATAAATGATTTCTTTTGTTTATGAATTGTTCCATTTCCGATAACTATTATGCTTTCGTTTTTTCATATGAAGTTTGTTTTGGTGGCTTACTGAACTAGGATCTCATAAACTTGGGAAGGTTTAATGTTATTCTGGCCTGACAAATGAAACTTGTTCTTGAACTCATATAACCTTGTTCCAACATTGTTCGTGATTTGTAAACACTTCATTCAATTATACTATTAACAGCGAGATCGTAAGCATTGTGCTATTTTCTACAATTTGGGCTTATACAATTGCATTCATGTTTGGTTGCAATTTTGAATATGTTGTCTGAGATTAGAAATGCTTTGACTTTAGATTTACTTAAAGTTGAGGTACTTTAGATTATTTTCACTTGCACTTGTATTTTCTCCCTAGAAGCATAAAAAAGAGGCTCTCCAATACAGGATTTGGGGAGGGTCAGTATACACCAGTTTACCCCTTGAAATAAAGAGGTTATGAATTTTGAACTTTGGTCAAAATTCATGAACTGCGTACCAACTGAATGATCAGGTTTTGGGGAGGGTCAGTATACACCAGTTTACCCCTTACCATGACACCTAGCTTGTACGAGTAAAAAGGTAGTATTATTATTTAGTAGAACTGGGTGTAATTAAAGTTGCAAGTAGCTGAGAAGGCTTACTAAATCATATGGAAGATTGTACAACTGCATGCGCTTTTCTAGGAGAATGTGAAAAAGCTAAGGGCTAATGGCTCAATTGGCAAGACGTTAAGTTAAAACTAATTATAAAGTAAGATTAAGAGAATATCTTGGGTTGATTGAATTAGAATTTGTTTCAAGGAAAAATCTGCATAAGTTAACTGATAACAAATTAACAACTATGCTATGTGATTTGATTCTAGAATGTGATCAGGTAAAAAAGGAGTTAACAGGATGAACTGTGAACTGAGAAATGACTAAATGACAGTATTTATGAATTGGAATTTTATTTATTAAGAGATAGGGTGCATTAGATAAAGGCATTGCCAAATATCTTATTTGTCTCATTTTTCTTGTGTTACTTGGCCTACATGAAAATTAATTAGACACTTTTCATTGAGTAAATTTGGGGATGAGAGTACTTCTAGTCAGAGTAAGATATTGGTGGGATCAGAATTAGGATAGACTATTTGTGAAGCAATCAGAATACCTAATATTTATTGACAGGGTAAGCTTGGAGTCAATTATTAGACAAGTTAAATAGCAGACTTTTTAGGTTGTGACATTGATTTTTTGTGTGAGTTTATTATGTTTCTCTATCCAATTTGATCAAGAATCTCAGGTCATGATAATGTAATGTGAGGCCACTAGTAGTTTATTTAAATTATTGTTAAAGGTCAATGACAATTTGCTGTGGAAACTGCAAACAAGACATAACTCTTTTCGACACAGTAGTGTTGTTTTTCTCTCTCATGTGCGTGGATCTCCAAATAGTTGGAAAATTATGACTCCTCGTCGTTGTCAATGTCGTTCTGTTTTTACTAAGGTGGTTTTACTGACTATACAGGTTCTATGATTTAGCTGCTCATATAGTTGATTGTTTTTTACTCTTTGCTTTGAGTTCAAAGTGCTTAAGAATTTTGATCAACACAAGTACCCATTTAGTGAATAATAAAAGCTAAAATGTTAGTTCAGTGTTCATAGTTAATAAGATGATATCAGTTGGTATCGGACCATACATTCCAATACCAGTCGTTTGTTGTATCAGTGATCATTCAGTTGGTACGCAGCTCATGAATTAATTATTGAAACTTGGGTGAGATCTGTAGGCCGAGATTGTTAAACAAATGATGAATATTTGATTGCATGCTTTAGGACAAACTGAAGTTGTACCCGTCCGTGATCCATGTCAAATTGTTGGAAGGAATGTACTAATACGATCTGTGACCAAGTTTACTGAACTTTCTTTTGTTATACACGAGAGTGGATGCTTGTGTGTGTGCAAATCAATTGTTTTGCTTTGGCTTTTTCTGGAAATTGGTTACTAAGTTTGTCAGACTTGCTGAACAATTGACTTTTCATGCTCATTAATTGGGCTCCAAATAATGTCTTTATATTTATTTGCAGCGCTTACAATATGATGCTGAGGAGGAAATGAGAACTGCCTTGAAAAGGGGCTATGCCACTACTAGTACACCAAAAGCCCCAGCTGATAATTGTGTCAGTCAGTTTGACAAAAACATGAACAGGCGTCAGTGGCAGACATATAGAAGCTCACATCACAGATGGTCAGAATCTTCACAATCAAAGCGGTAATTTGATGGAAGACTTGGGTCGTATGTGAAAGTTTTACTCCATTAATTAAAGTTGAAATCAGTGCTGAAATCTCAAAAGAGCTAATTTAGTGGTATATGTGGAGGGAATTCATTTATTAAAGTTCACATCAGTGCTGGGAGCAAGTCACAGAGATGGAGTCTGTGGATGGTTGGATGCACTGAAAATGACCTGGTTGCATCCCCAAATGGAAAAGGGCACAAGTACAGTTTTTAGCATGACCTACTGAAAAATTATCATCAAACTCATGTTGCTAATATAGAGGTGACTGACCAAAGAAGCAGCTTGTTTTATTGAAGATGTCGATCATCATGTCAGTCTTTTGCAAGCTGGTTGCTCTGGATTATTGTTTTGCATCTCTTTAGTATGGGGAAGATGAATGGCGTGTATGTGAGCTCATTGTTGTTCTCACTCCTTTATCCATGTGATGATGTTTGTAACAGCGAGTAGCAGCAACTTAATTGTCCCTGAGAGTGTTCAGTGTTTTCACACCCCATATGGGAAGTGTGAACAATGACTAGCAAAATGTGTTTCATCGGGTGTATGAAATTTTGTTAACCTTATCCAGGCGTGTTTGTGTTGTATCATGAAAGAAATAAAGGAAGCCGTGAGTGGGTTTTAAGGAACTGTCGTTTGAACAACTTTTGCTCCCTGATGAGGGGATTTCTTTTAAGTTCAAACACGGGTGAGATCTTTTTTGTGTTGTCAACCGTGAGTAGTGCTATTCTCTAAATTGTAGTTGTTAAAATATTTTAATAGGATTATTTTACTTTCCAAGTAATAGCTATCATCTAGTAATGGTCGTTGATGAACGCATATATATAAATTTATATGGTTGTATTCCATATTTTTAGGGATGAACGCATGGACTCGTTTTGTAAAAGAAGCATCTTTCAGGATACACACGAGTCGATTCTAGAACAAATTGCAGATACATTAGATCATATAATCCAAAGTAATGACGGCCAAAATCTAATTAGATTTGTAAAAATAAAAAGCATGATGAGAAAACCAATGTGGAGTTACAACAACTTTTATTTGCTACTCGAGGGTGAGGATATTATTGAATCTTGGATTTTAACGATGAAATCAATTGGTGAATTGTTTGACCTAATCTATGTGTTGAGATAAGTGTGCAGGATTAACTACGATAGCAGTAAAACATAAAGCAGATGATGGGTCAGAGTCGAAGATTCAGACGATGTACCGGAAGTGTGTCGGGAGATCGCCAAGAGTTCGTCGAAAGATCGCTGAGAGCTCGTCGGAAGATCGCCAAGAGTTCGTCGGGAGTTCGTCGGAAGCTCACCGGAAGTTTCGCCGAAAGAAAAATCGACATACTGGATTAATTGCTTACCTTAATCATAGTTAGAACATTAGTTGAGTTAGGATCGAGAGGTAATTCCACTAACTTGGTTAGGGGCCAACTAGGCCCTTAACAGGGCTGAATTGGGCAGGATTGAATAGCCCATTCAACACCTGAAATCACGGTCGGCGGTGGCACTACCTAGCAAACCCAGTCTCCCAAGTGTTATAGGCGGTGGTACCATCGGTAGTTAATGCTGCTAGTGGTAGTACCGCCTTTGTCAGGCGGTGGTACTACCTAATGTCAGACTACAGACGGTAGTACCGCCCAGTAATGGTGGTGGTACCGTCAGTACCCTGAAAAATCAGGATGAGACACTTTTTGGCTCCAATTTTGAAGCCATTAGGGCCTATAAATACCCCACCCTTTTCTGCATGAAAGGGTACTAAAGTATTGGCATAATCTTGAGTATTTGAAGTGTTAAAGTGTTGTAAAAGTGCTAGAGTACTCCTCCTCCCTTTCTAAGTTCTAAGTGTTGAGATCATTCAAGAGAGGTGTGAGACTTGTAAGGGTTATCTCCTAAACCCGTGAAAAGGAGAAAGCGTTGTAAAGAGGTGGTTGGTCTTCGCCTATTGAAGGAAGACCATTAGTGGACGCCAGTGACCCCAACGGAGGAGGAATTGAAAGTGGATGTAGGTCACAACGATCGAACCACTCGAAATTCTGGTTTACTTTTCTATTTATACAATTTACATTACTGAAAATTTCCTTAACCTTCTATTTGCACACTTACGAAAGTTTTCAAGTTCAGTTTCTTTCCGAAACTGATTGAATCGAAACGAATATTTTTTGGATTCAACGCTTTTTTTTCGCTGCACTTATTCACCCCCCCCCCCCCCCTTATTGCAGCTCTTGATCATAATAATTGGTATCAGAGTAAGGTCACTCTCATTTGGTTTAAAACCCAAGAGAGATGACATTTTTCGGCAACCAAGAGGGTCATTCAATCACACGTCCACCCATGTTTAATGGAACGAATTACACCTATTGGAAGACTAGAATGAGGATTTTTCTAATTTAAATGGATTTTGAGTTATGGAATCTTGTAGAAAATGATTTTCAAAAGTCTTATTTTCTAATGAGTGATTGGAATGAGTTGGAGAAGAAGACTTTCACTTTAAATGCTAAGGCTATGAATGCCTTGTTTTGTGCTTTGGATAAAAACGAGTTCAATCGAGTGTCCATTTATGAAATGACTTTTTGATATTTGGCACACTCGAAGTTACTCACGACGGCACTAGTAAAGGTGTAAAAAATTAATCTTTTAATCTATACTTATGAGTTGTTTCAAATAAATCCGAGTGAGACCATTGGAGACATGTACACCCGATTTACGGATGTCGTCAATGGTCTAAAAGAACTTCGTAAAAGTTTCTCGGATTCTGAACTTGTTAATAAAATTTTAAGATTCCTTCCAAAAAGTTGAGACCCTATAGTAATAGCTATCCAAGAGGCCAATGACTTAAATAACTTTCTTCTCGAAGAACTAATCGGGTCACTAATGACCTATGAGATGACTTGTAATGCTTATGAAGAGCTTGAGAATAACCTTCGAAAGAACATGAAGGATATGACACTAAGAAGACCACTTGAAAGAAAATTCAAGTGATGAGAACTTTGATGATGACTTGGCACTATTGACAAAAAAATTCAAAAAATTCATAAAAATGAATAAATTTAAAAATGACACTTAAAATAAATTTGAACATAAAAAAGAACAAGTAATATACTATAAATGCAAGAAGCTAGGACATTTCAAGAGCGAATGTCTCCTTGCAAAGATGAAGCAACCAAAGAAGAATAAGGCTCTTAAAGCAATATGGGATGACTCAAATGCATTTGAAGAAGAGGAGCCAACCAACACTGAGCAAGTTGTTCACTATGTACTAATGGCTATCAGAGATGAGGTAAGTAGTTCATTAGATGCAAATTTATCTTTCAATGAGCTTTTAAGTGCTTTTCATGAATTGTTTGATGAATATAGAACCTTGAGTAAAAAGTAAAACTCTTTGAAAAAGGAGCATGCTTCTTTTGTTAGTGATTTTGATAGACTAAAAATTGAGCATGATGATAGTTTAGCTCCATGTACAAAATGCCATGACTTAAAAAGGAAAACTTGCTACTCAAAGAAACCTTAGAAAAGTTTGAGGTTAGTAGCAAGTCATTGAACATGATTCTTGCCAATAAGAGTCAAGTTCATAGAAGAGACAGAATCAGATTTGTGAGTAGCTTTCACCAAAATCCAACTACCTTTGTTAAAGGCTCTACCTTGCATGTAACTTTTGTTGAAAACTTGGATATATTGCCTATAAATATCCACTTAAGAGATATAGTCCACACAAATTGATTTGGGTTCCTAAAGGAACCATAAAGAACTCTATGCAAAATGATAAGTTGACTAGATCAATTTTTGAGGTACCCAAGGTCAAATGATTACCTAAAAATCATCCTCTTTTGTAAAAATGTTTACCATCACAAGCTAGGAGAAAGAGATGATACCTTGATAATGGATGCTCAAGGTATATAACTGGAGATCCATCTCAATTTTCTAAGTTCATTAGCCTAAACGAAGGATATGTCATCTTCGGAGACAACAACAATAGTAAAATCATTAGCAAAGGAACCATAGGTAATAAATCGAACTTCTTTTTTGAAGATATGTTATTGGTTGATGATTTAAAGCATAATATTTTGAGTATTAGTCAATTATATGATAAAGGATACATCATTAGATTTGAATCCAATGTTTTCATTATTGAAAAACTATATAAAAACACATCTATGATTGTCTTAAAATAAAATAATGTATACACTATCGACATTGATGATCTTTGTAATGAAATGTGTTTTTCGATTTTGAATGATGATGCTTAGCTTTGGCATAGGAGATTAGGTCATGCTAACATGAAACTAATCCCTCAAATCTCATCTAAAGAACTTGTAAGAGGAATTCCTCACATTAAGTTCGTTAAAGACAATGTGTGTGATGCATATCAACTAGGAAAACAAAAAAATGGTAGTTTCAAACCAAAGAACCAAATAAGCACCTATAGACCATTGCAATTGATCTATATGGACTTGTTCGGACTAATTACTATATCAAGCCTAGGAGGTAGCAAATACGCCTTTGTCATCGTGGATGATTATAGTAGATACACTTGGACTTATTTTTTGGCACATAAAAATGATTACTTTAGATATTTTTCTAAGTTTTGTAAACTTGTTCAAAATGAAAAGGGTTTTATGGTTTCATCAATTCAGAGTGATCATAGTGGTGAATTTCAAAACCGTGATTTCTAAAATTTTTATGAATCTAATGGATATAACCATAATTACTCTACTCCAAGAAATCCCTAACAAAATGAAGTAGTAGAAAAAAAAAATAGAAATTTATAAGAAATGACAATAACCATATTGAACGAATATAGCCTACCCAAATACTTTTGGGCCGAAGCCATTAATACGGCATACTATGTCATGAATAGGGTTCTAGTAAGACCATTACTTTACAAAACTCCTTATGAATTATGGAATAACAAAAAACCCAATGTTTCGTATTTTAAAGTTTTCGATTGTAAATGTTTTATCTTGAATGAAAAAGATGCTTTAGGAAAGTTTGATGCAAAATCTAATGAAGGAATTTTTCTTTGCTATTCTTCTATTTCTAAAACATTTCATGTTGTTTTTAATTTTTAAGAAGAGACTATTCATGTTGTTTTTAATGAAGTTTCCAAAGTTAAGAAAAATGATTTTGATGATAATATTAATTTTGATAATTTGAATTTAAATGAAACCCCTTCTCCATTTAGCAATTTGGATGCATCTTCTTCCGAAACATCCTTATCCAAGGAATGGAAGTATATAGATGCTAATCCTAAGGAGCTAATCATAGGAGACATATCAAAAAGGGTTCAAACTCATTCTTCTCTTAAGAATTTTTGTGCCAACATCGCTTTTCTCTCCCAAATTGAACCTAAATGCATTGACGAAGCCTCAAAAGATGATTTATGGATTATCACAATGTAAGAAGAGTTGAATCAATTTGAGAGAAATGAGGTATGAAAGCTTGTTCCAAAGCCAAATGACCATTTAGTTATTGGTACTAAATAAGTCTTTAGAAACAAGCAAGATGAATTTGGTATCGTAGTTAGAAACAAGGCTAGATTAGTGACCAAGGGTTTCAACCAAGAAGAAGGTATCGATTATGAAGAAACCTTCGTTCCTGTGGCACGATTAGATGCTATAAGGATGCTCCTTGTCTAT